TACCATAGCATCCCACCTGGGATTGTATCTTTCTTCCTCGGTGGCCTGTGCTCTTTTAGAATAGATGGTCTGCCAATTCCTCCTTTTAGCCCTTGTGCCCAGGTACAGCTGGCTGAATTGGGTCTGTCATTGGATGATGTTGCTGACTCCAATGATTAGCCCATCCCCCATGGCTCATTACCATCCCTGCCTGTTACCTTTCTTCAAGTCACCTGAGGAAGGTGAATACTCCTGACTGGAAGTACCATCTTCCCTTTGCTGAATATATTTCGAACCATTCTTCTGTTCCTGTTTTTATGGATGGTTCAAAATCAGGTGACTTTATGAACTCTGCCATGATTTGTTGTGACTCGGTGGTTGCTCACAGGATCTCCTCTACAGTTTCTGTGTTCACTGCCAAGTTGTATGCCATTTCTCTTGCCTGGATCACATAGAAACTATGCAGTACACTGATTGTACTATTTATATGGACTCTCGTAGCTCTCTACTAGCCCTGGCATTGCTTAATGTTAGTACGCATCCTGTTCTACTCGATATTCTAAAACAACTGGCCCATTTTTTTCTATCTTCCATTTCTATCCAGTTTTTCTGGATATCTGGCTATGTCGGTATTCATGGGAACAAGCTTGCTGACACTGCAGCTACGTCTGTCTGCTCTGGTGCTTTCACAGGTATGCCTGTCACATATATGGACTACAGTCCTGTAATCAAGGCTGAGCTTTGTGCCAGTTGGCAGTCAGCTTGAAGTGAGCAACATCATAACAAGCTTTTCCAGATCAAAACTTATGTTGTTCTTTGGCCATTTTATCTCCAGAAGGATTGGAAGGAGGAAGTTGTTTTGGCTAGGCTATGCAGTGGTCACAGTTTTTTAACTTGTCGTTTTCTTTTATCTGGAACTGATCCACCAATGTGTGGCCTTTGTGATGCTCAGATCACATTTGCTCACCTTTTACTTTTGTGCCACCGCTACAAACACCAACAAAAGCACCATTTTGACACGTTTTATATGGGTTTGTCCTTGATGTTGGAGAGTCATAGGCAATGGTGATACTGTCTAGTTTGATTGTATTTTTAGCTTTTTATGGGCTATTGGCCTTTTTACATCTATTTGAGTTTTCCCAGCCTTTTAGACATTGTTTGTTTTTTAGATTGATTTTTTTTTTACTTTTTATTTTATTTTTCTTGAAGCTTTTTACCAGTTGTGTGACACAGATAGCTTAGTTGCTTTGAGCCAATAAGCACCAAACACCAACTGACCAAACAACTACATTAGCGACATAGATGAAGGAATGGTCAATAAATTACTTAAATTTGCTGATGATATTAAGATCTTGGGCATTGCCAACTGTGAAGAGGATGCTGCTGCTTTACAAAAGGATTTAGATAATAATTAACGAGTTGGCCAAATAAATGGCAGATGGGTTTTAATTATTATAAATGCAAGATAATGCATGTAGGTTATCATAATTTGAATTATAAATATAATTTGGATGGGGATAACCTTAACAATGTCATAAAAGAAAGGGATCTTGGTGTAATGGTTGATCGGTCTCTTAAGCCATACAAGCAGTTTGCTGTTGCTAGTGGTAAGGTAAATAGGATTTTATGAGGTATCTACAGAAATATTGAATACAAGTCTAAAGAGGTTATAATTTCACTGTACCGGTCACTGGTTAGGCCACATTTGAAATATTGTATTCAGTCTTGGGCTCCTTACTTTGGGAAGGACATTGAATTGTTGGAAAGAGTTCAGAGGAGGGTTACTAGAATGGTGTCTAAGATAAAGGGATTGTCATATGAGGAGAGGTTAAGATTTAGGGGGATCTGATTGAGGTGTTTAAAATTTTAAGGGAACTGATAGTGTTGATTCATCTTTTTTCATACCTAGTGGTGAGAATAGTAGGACGAGGTAACACAAATATAAATTTTGGCAAGGTAGGAGTCATTTTCAGCCAAGATAGTTGTATTTTTCAAACAGGGTGGTTGACCTCTGGAATGGGTTGCCTTTGGATGTTGTGGAGGCAGTAATTTAAGTGAGTTTAAGAGAAAGCATGATAACTACATGAATGATAAGGGCTGGTTTTAATTTTTTATTTGTTTTTTCTTTTGTTAATAGTTTTAGTTTAGTTTAGAGGATGTGACACTTGAGATGGACCAATGAGTCCTTTGTTGCCCTTAAATATATGTTATGTTAATTTATAGTAACTTACAGTATTAAATTTATAGACCTCAATATGTATTTCAGTTATTTATAGTATTAATATACAAGATTAAAATTCTTAAAAAGCAAAAACTACATGTGCTAGGCATGATATATAAAGCTTCACATGTGACAACAGCCCCCCTGCACTGGCTCAGCAGTAAGTCAACAGACTAAAAATTGGGTTTTCATACCCACAATGAGCAGATCACAGATAGCCCACTGCATAGGTTTGTATTTAATAAAAACCAAACATGTGACAAGTCTGCTTCAGTGCTTGGTAATATCACTAAGCAGGCTTAACCTCCTCATGTGTTCTTGGTTTAAGGGCCAAAAACACCACTAATGGTGAGGATACTAAACGGATGACCTAGGGCAGGGTGATCATTGAAGCTTTTAGTAGTTTGCTTGTGACTATTTATTATCAAATGTAATTATTATTGTATGATCTTTAGCAGCCCTTCAAGTTTAAATTGTTACATAACTACTTAATATGGACATGAACTTGATCAACCTTATAAAATTTACAGCTAAATAAAATGCCATCAGTCAGATGAGCTGAAAATAATGTCTTGCATATTAGTATTTCTAATACTTGAGTTTTAAAAGTTGAAATCAATAGCCCGTAACTGTATAGAACAGGAGAGAAACAAAGAAATATTTTAAACTATGATAGCAAGTATAACAATTACAAAATTAACCTTAGTGTTTAATTATGTTAAAAAAATGCTTTTAATAGGCTAAATATTTCTCAGTTGGAATGTATGAAGACAAATTGGAAAATTAAAGAAATAAATAGAAGATAGAAATATGTAAAAATAAATAGAAATATATTATGTACTTACTGGTTGGTACAAGATCACAAGCACAGTTGTGAATGCTACCAATTTTAAAAGATTACAACATCAGTAATAATTATACAAAGCAAACTGATATCTGTTCAGACAATATATTTGATTTTTCATTGTTCATTGAAACATTAATCTTCTATAATTGGCAGCCAAACAAAGATGAAAGATTAATTTGAGATTTAGATAGAAGTCAAAGTTTATTATACAAACACATGTACTTTTTAAAGGTTTACAACTGGAAATAATATTTTCATATCAAAAGCATTAGAAAATAACTTAGCACACATACACACAAAGGATGCAATGGAAAATACAGACTTGGAAACAAAAAGTAACCGAGGATATATTTGTTTTGATGATAGCAAGTCTGATTAGCTTTGTCAATTTAAAGCTTTAACACAAACATTTATATTAAGTGTAGTAAATGAACTTCAGCTTCTTTATATTCTATGGCATGTAAGGACTCCAGACAGTTTTCTAGAAAAGTGTATTTGTGGTATTCAGGTACACTGACATTTGAGAGATAAGTTTAGTATATGCAAAATAAAGATTCAAGAAATGTTATACAGAAAAGAAAACAAAAACTAATATGGACAGCAAAGGAAATATAAATACACAAGTGTACAAGTAAACAAAATCTTTGTTCATGCAACAAGTAAAGTGAATGTATTTTACTTGACTGTCTGACTTCCAATTCAGTATTGAAGACTAAACGGTTGCTAAAATGCTATCCTTAGATTATCTATACCAGTGATTATTGCAATTTAGCATATTCAAAGAACTGAGATAAACCTCAACTCATCCAAAATTATACAAACCCTTAGAACGAGAATGAATCCACTTCATGAGGGAATGAGACAGACAGGCAAATAAGTGTAAGTCTTAAGGTATAATTGTTATAAGATGTTATCTTTGTCTAACGTTGAGGAATAGTGCAAGTTTAACTTTAGTGTGTCCAGTTTACAAGGAAGAAAAATTATACTTTTCACAGATCATGAAAGGGTAAGATACAATAATGTTTCTAATAATCACACAATTTCAGAGGAAACTACAACCATGTTTGGTTTACACATAGCTGTACAATGTGCTTGATGATAAAAAAAAAAGGTTTAATTAAAGTGAAAATTTCAGAGGAAGTTTGCATGAATCATTACTTTAACCATAAACATAATGAAACTCACTGTTAATATATATATGAAATAAAAGTAAAACATAAAATAATGCAGCCTTTTTCTAGATCTTCATTAGGCATATTTACTATTACAGATACATTATTAATATGATTAAAATCAATAATGCAACTGACACAGCACTGTAAATGTAACATAAAGTATTTAATGTAATGCTCTACCTTCCATATGAACAATGAATAGCAGCATATGTAGCCTGTGTTAATGGACATTTATCTTTATTACAAGAAATTCAGTAATACATAAACTTGATAAGGTTCAAAAGTTATCAAACTTGCATTATTATGCAAGTCATCCTAGCTATAGCTTTAGTGATTTATACAACAAGTAAGCAAAGAGAAAGTTAGTTGATGTTTTGTTAAAGTGACCAATACTGCATGACATGGTGGTTAGACCTATATGTAAACGAAAAAACTTATACATCCAGAATAAAGGTGGAAAAGTAAGGTAAATTGAAAAAGAGTTAAATATCACTTTGTAAATATAGAAAAGTGTCTATATTTTATTCATACTTAAAAAATAAATTTGGATAGATGATTAGTTTATAAAAAGATCTGCCTATTCACAAAATTTATGAGAAATATCCAGTTAGGAAAGAGAATAAGTATTTGGTAAAAAAGAAAAAAAAAAGGGAAAGAGATGTGGTCAGGAATTGAGGCAATAAGATTCTTGCTACTCAACACTCCTTTAAGGTGTGGAACAGAGAATAGTGATGAAAAGACAGCAAAGTAACATTTCTTTTTTCCCATTCAACTTTACCTGTGATTTCGATACCAGTGCAATTGGCTGATTGTTTAGTGGTGAGATTTGTTTCTCTTCCTGTTGAGCTGTGAGGTGGTGGTGTTGTTGTTGTTGCTGAAAAAGCTGCTGTTGCTGCAATTGTGCTGCCAATTGTGGTGCCATTTGAATGAGATTAGCTGTAGACTGGTTTGGTGAAACAACAGGCTGAGTTAAAAGCTAAAAACAAGAATAAATTTTGAATAGTTTCAATATAGTTAAAACCATAGTTCATTTATTTAGCTAAGAAATCATATTACAGATAAAATTTGTTATCTTGAGTTGTATAGATAAATACTAACATTACTTTTCATTAAATAGAACAGTATTAAAATCCCAAGTTTGTCTGAATGATATGGTATTGAAAATCTAAGTTGATGAAGTACCAATGATTTTTTGGCTTAACAAATGTGGTAAAACATTACACATGAACCTTGTAGTGGCCATACATCACTTTTAGAAAGTACGAGTATTAAATTAAACTTTAAGTTGCCATAGAACAAGCTTGGCTGATGAGTTCTAGTATAAACCCAAAGGCAAATAAAAGAGAAGTCTGCAATATTACTTTCACACATCTCTGGTTTACAATGCATAACAGACTGACTAAAAGTTTTGTAAACAAAGCAATGTGCAGCATAGCATGTTTTCCATCACATTTTCAAAATTTTTGATGCTATAAGTTCCCAAATTAACTAATCTATGGGTATTTGTGACTGTCAAAAGTTTATGTGACACACATTTAGTTCCAATATTCAGTCGGAGTTTACAGTATGAAGAGTACGTTAACAGTATTTCAACTAAAATATCACAGCAGATAGGCTAGTTGGACCACAAATCTGAAAATCTTATTTCTATCTATCTAGAAACAACATAGCTACTTATACCTACGTTTGATGTGCTGTCAACAGTCATAACTTTCAAAAAGTGTGAAACTATACTAATTAAAGCAGAAAGATTTGTAGCATTATATGCAAATCAAGAAAGAAATGATGTATGTAGAAGTATTAATCAAATAAATTCCATCAATCTGAACAAATCTCTGGAAAACATGTTGCACAGTAAAAGATAAACTCTATTTTTTATTTATTTCCAGTTTATTTTTTTAACATTTCTTGAGTTTATTTTGACATTTTAGTTTAAATATAATTATGTAACATGAATCTATTGTGTTAATGTATTCAAATAAAAAATGTTATAGTTTTTTATTTTTGTTTAAAACTGATTGATTTTAAGATTTATTTCAATATTTACTATATTAAATGTAAATTGTTACACTGTATTGTTAAATAAAATAAATATCACCCTGTTGGTCAGTCTTAAACTTTAGATTTGCAACACTAAAATCCAGAGGTTCGATTTCCTGTGGTGGACAGAGCAGAAATAAAATATTGCATTGCTTTGTGCAAAAACAAACTCACAATCAAAATAAATTTCTAACAAAGCAATAGCATTTTAAAAGAATTAAATAAGAAGGAATGTATACGCAAGTTGTTAATTCAATTAACTTGCCATTTTTCTAATAAACTATCCTAACTAAGAATTCAAAATTGTTAGTCTGTACATTACCTTCACATTGGATGCTGATGTAACTCGAGAATAGTTATATTTGATTTAAAATACATATGGCCAAGAGAAAAATGGTAAGTAAATGTACTATTAGGACCACAGAAAGTATGATATTTTACCTTTGTAGAATTAGCAAAGAATAAATCCTTATACAGGTGAATGTTTCTAAATTTTCAAGCATGTAGTTAGACATCCTTGTAAGCTGGATGTTAGAAGGTTATAAATTTGCACTAACCCTCTGTTATATACTCCAATGCTTATTCCATAGGCTTACATTTACTTGGCCCTGTTTCTTTGTTATACCTCCCCTTCAGTAAGGTCGTGCCCATTTGAAGGTAGTACAAAGATTTGTACAAGCTAGGATGAATCAGGGTTTATCTTCCTTGAATATCACTAACAGGAATGATTGTTGTTGTAGACAATAAAAGGATTGTGGGATACTAGACTATGACTTTAGTCTGACTTAAAACTTGTGGTATTTCATTATTTTTACTTTCATTTGTGTATTATTGTGTGGATGTGTATTATTATAGATCATGTCTTTGTTCTACAATGTACAATTTGGGTTCTACCTGTTCTCTGTATTAGCATCCAGTTGGTTTTCCAATGTTAATTGGAATTCTGTCAGTTAAGTAAACACATTCACTTTTCCTGTTGCATGAATAAAGAGTTTATCCATACAACAGGAAAAGTGAATACTTGTGCTTTTGTATTTACTTTGTTGTCTGTGTTTTTACTTGATGCATAACATTTCTAGAACATACCTTCTGCATATACTTCAACTTATCTGAAGGATATTATTGTATCTAAACATCACAATATTTATATTTTCTTTTATTATAAACTTATTGTATCTTTATTGTGTATTGCGATACAATTATTTTAATTTATTAGATAGCTTAAATATATGAAACATAACTTAAAATTTATCTTTTCAGATTTTGGTAACATATATGAACCATCAAGTAAAGTAAATGTTTTGATAAATATTTAATAACTTGTTTAATTATTAGAAAATCATAACATTTCCAATACTGTTTGTTTCAGAAACGTTTAGTCACCTGCCTGAACAGCAAAGAGCTATTTCTTTGCACCACTGCCATGAAGAATTTTGTGTGTATCACAAGACTGCACTAACTGTCCCATATCAGTTTGAACTGGAAAATTGAACATTCTTGTAATAATCAGGAAAATATAATGGATACCTCAGAGTGAGACACCTTGTACTGTTGCTCTACCATTTCTATTGGGCAAAGAGTATTCCCAGCATAAGATGGGTGCAATCTACCACCAAGTGATGCCCCACTGGGCCACCTTCTCTAGTGGGTGACACATTTCATGTGTTTTCCCTTTCTGACACTATGTTCTCAGAAAGAAGCTCATCTGTGTAACTGATTTTTCAGCATCAGCCCTTCCACCTTCTCATCAATGAGGGATTTTAGCTCTTTGTTGTGCAGAGAGGTGGGTAAACACTTCTGAATTTGACATTTTCCTTACTTGAAAATGTATTTCAGATAGTTATGGACCTCTCTGCACAACCTCCCACCCTTCATCCCCACTTCCAGTGCATTTCCTTTGTCTCATAAAGAATAAGGCTTTGTTCAAATGCTAGTGCTCATTGGGATTACTGTGCATGGAGGATGTGTCACTCTCCTATTGATGGAGGGCTATAATCTAATGGTGATTATAATAATAGACTGACACAGTACACATTGATAAGTACAAGAGTGGGAGCTCCAATCAAGGCTTGTGGCATGCACAAAATTTTCATGGTAATGGCATCAACTAATAGTTCTTTGTTATGCAGAAAGATATCTATTCAAAATATATTTTCAGATAAGGAAAATCTTCATTTTTAGCTTACGAAAAGAATGAAAGTTGAAATAAAAAGTGAAACTATTTAAACAAACACCTGTGGTCCAATGGCTACTACCTGACCAGATGCATTAGTCAGTAGTTGAGGTACTGCAGATACAGGAGTTGCCATATTTGTTAGATTTCCTGCGGCAATCACTGGCTGTGGTTGAACACTTGAAGCTCCTGTAAATGCAAAGAGATATTTGAAATATATTATTGGATATAATAAAGCATTCAAAATGGTGATCAATAGACTTGTGAAAAACACATTCATAAAATTTTACCATCTATTGAAAACTGCATTATTTTTAAGACGTGTATTTGAAATACAAAGTATGACTTTAAAAAAAGTTCAGGTTCAGATCTACTATGCTTACATTATCTAATGCACACAAACCTGCAGCACTTGCAGGGGATATGCCTGGGATCTGGAATGGCTGGGACAAAGACTGAAGATTTGCTAGTGTTGTTGTAAAAATTTGCCCATTGGAGGCTACCATCTGGACCAGCTGGTTTCCAGCAAATTGAGACACTGGAAAAGTTATCAATTGCTGAATAGCAACACCTGAAAAAAATAGTTATTCAAAAATTACAAATCTCCATTATTTTTCGTACAATGAATAAAATGGCTCAACATGGATATCCAAGTCTTATTAAGAAAAAAAATAAGTAAAATTGAATTTTAAGCCATGTATGAGAAAGGTTGTGTTCATGTGGGGCATTATGGATGTGTTTTAAAATGATCCCTTTTAGATTATATAGACATGCTTTAAGTACTGGAAAATGAAAGTCGTTGAATAAGTTTTTATATGTTTAATAATTTCAGTAGGCTTAGGCCTCTGGTTTTAAAGATTACTGAAGTTTTCTGAGGCTTTCCACTTACTAGTTCAGTAAACACCAGTCTTTTATTAAATGTTTCAGTGTTGAAAACCAAACTTGTATGTGGTGTGAGAAAATATAATAAAACACAATGTCAGAATGCATATGTTTTAGAGAGAACATAACCAACAAATTACAATACAGAACAAAAGTCATATTTAATGTATTCGAAATAAAATCTAGATCTACATCATTACTATATATGTTCATAGCTCTTCACAGGTTTTGATTCAGTTTTGGCTGGTCTATAATGTGTAATCATAATGGTTCTATATGAATAATATTGCATTATTAATCCTCACCTTAATTCTAATTTGTAAATGAATCATACAAAAGTGGTGATAATAACACTTCACCAACTTAATTTAGTTCACACCATAACAACTAATGCTCATGCAATCTGATCATATAAATAGTGCCTCAACCAATACTGTATCTGTAGTACCCCATCCAGCCTGATGAACCCTGGTGTTAGGCGAAAGGCACTATCAGCACTGGATATAACAGATCTAGTGTGGTTGATATACCATGATATTATTCTTTACTTTCACTCATACATTCTTAGAAATACTATTTTCTTGAAATAAGGGATATCTGGTTCTTATTTGGAACTTGTTATCTAAATCATATAATGTATTTTGAAATCTCTTCTGAACATCTTATTAACAGACTATTGTGAATATGTTTCAGTGATATTTCAATATTCCAAAACTAGGAAACTCCTTTATAAGAAGACCTAATTATTGCTTATTTTGCATGCCAATGAAAGAACAAAGAAAAAAAAATGTGATAGCATAAGTATCCAATTCTCCTTTGATTATATATTATAACTACCTACCTGAGGATGTAGGAATGAGCAACTGAGCACCTTGAACACCTTGTATTGGCTGGCCTGCTGCCAAGATGAACTGGGGTGTCATGGCAACTTGCTGTGCTGCTCCCTGATGTGCTACCTAGGATATCCAAATAACATAAATAAAAAATAAACATCTCATACAGAGGATTGAGTATGATAGATTAAACCAATTTTGAATATGCAAATCAGTAAGTCACGTGACAAGAACATTCAGTATAAAGTTGTGATGGAATGACATGTATCAGAAATATATTTTGACATTGTTTGGCATTTGTAGGTAGTGTTATGCAAATGTATCACTTTTGGGAAGGATATGTAATAGCCCTGTCTGACCCAAAATATTCATACACTGAGATCATAAAAATGTTTTGGAGATTTATAATTTTAAATTTGGGTATGTCCCTTGTATATAATGGCATTGAAAAACAAAGTAAAATGAATCAACATGAACACCTAGAAAGAGACCTACAAAACATGGTACCTCAACTATAGTAATCAAAGTGCAGCAATTTGTAATAGGTGAGAATCCACAAACACAAATGTCAGTCGCAAAAAACGTTAATATGTCTAAGGCAACAGTACACAACATAATTGAACAGGATCTCCATTTGAAAACAAGGCCAGTAGGGTTTGGATTCACTAAGATAAAACTTCCAGTCATATCTCCCATTCAACCATTGTATATATAAAGAAACTAGAGAGTGAAATTGGTATTCATGCTATTCCATATGAAGATATGGTAGTGAATTTGCTAAATATAACACCCATGGATTTCTGTGCAATCAGATTTAGAAATAGGCAGTGTAAAATATCATCATTGTACACTATCTGAATGATGGAAAGTTGCAGGAAGGAACAATGAGGTTTCAATATGATAGCCTTTTGCAATGGAAACAATGTTTCAGTGCTATTGTCAAGATGCACATTCATCAGATACAGCATAACCAAACATGGTGACAATAGTCTCTTAATGTCATGATGGGGCTCCAAACTGTTTTAATATAATGTACCCAACCTCAGAGGTCACGTGATACAATTACATTTGTATATAGAAGGATGAGAAAGAAAAGAGGACAAAAATCTTTCATCTTCTGTTTTTGTCACTTTTGACAGAGTTTTGTGTATTGAATAAAGATTTCTTCTCTATGCCTTACATTGTATTCAATCCTTTTCATTGTTCAAATTCAGTCAAAGTAAAAGAATTCAGATTTACTCCATAATACATTTTGTATTGGACCTTCTTTTATTCTGTGGTATCTACCCAATTACTCTTGCAGGAAACTGATGCATCTGAGAATACCACAGAGTAGGTATGAAGGAGAAAATTTGGTGCCATGGCCACAAGATTTGTTTTTTGCATAGATTTCTTTTTTTCTCCTGAGAGGAGTATTTCCCTGTACTCTTCTTAACAGCTGAATTATTAAGTTTAAAAAACTTTGTATTTAAGGAAATTGAATTTTCAATGAGTCAAAGGACTTGCGACCAATTGAAAATTCTAGTCACTGAGGGGAGAGAGTTGTTCTGTCTTGTGGGAGTCCCCTCCTGGACATCAGACTTTCAACAATGCTCTGAAGGACTATGACTTCTTTCTCTTTACAACCAAAGGAAGGAGAAATACTAGGATCTTGTGCACCCAGAATGGATGACTGAGTTCTTCCCCTGAGAATCAATCTCATTTCTCATTTCTGATTCCAAATGTAAGAAACTCCATCTACCCAAGTTGAACTAAGGAGTGTATCATTTACAGAAACAAGTCATGAGTCAGCAAATTCACTGATGGGAAGCCTGTAAAAATGTTGATTGATTCTGGTTCTATAGCAACCTCTCTTTGAAATGGTAAAACTTAGAAATTGCCTCCAAAGATGAAGCAAAAGGATTGATGCTAATAGTAAGTCAAGCAAGAGGAAAACTGGAAATCATCCTCACTGTGGAAATCTTTATCTATGCAACCTGATGTGAGGTAACTGTCATTAAGAACAAATGCATACTGAGAATAGATTTCATGCAAAAGCATGAATGTGAAATTACACTTGCTTCAAACATTGTCATAGTTTATGATCAGGAAATCCCTGTGTACTACACAATAACTTCATCATCAGAGGTTGAAATTCCAGTTGAATGTGAAATTACACTTGCTTCAAACATTGTCATAGTTTATGATCAGGAAATCCCTGTGTACTACACAATAACTTCATCACCAGAGGTTGAAATTCCAGTTACAACAATGACAGAAGCTTAAGATAATGAAGACAATCATCCTAAAATGCAACAGAACATAATCCAGAAAGACGGGTGGTCCAACTCAAAGGTTACCCACCATGATCATCTTTGTAAATACATTAGCAGGAGTTCAGCTAGCTGGTTAACAAAGTTTAGAATTTTATTGGATAGTCAACATAGTTTCACTTAGGGAAAATCTTGCCTTACAAATCTTTGGACATCCTTTGAAAAGGTTACTGCTTATGTAAATGAGAATAAGGATGTAAATTTGGTGCATCTGCATTTTCAGAAAGCATTTGACAAGGTGCTACAGATAAGGCTTGTAAAAATTGTAAAAAAATGTAAATATGGGGGATAACTGGATAGAAGAGTGGCTGGATGGAAGAAAGTAGAGGGTTGTTATAAACAGAGTTCAGTCAAACTGGATTAATGTCACAACTGGGGTACTTCAGGGCTCAGTTTTAGGACCTTTTATTTACATCAATGACACAGATGAAGGAATGGTCAATAAATTACTTAAATTTGCTGATGATATTAAGGTCTTGGGTATTTCTACCTATGAAAAGGATGCTGCTGCTTTACAAAATGATTTAGATCATTTAGTGAATTGAGCAAATAAATGGCAGATTGGTTTTGATTATAATAAATGCAAGATAATGCATGTGGATTATCATAATTTCAATTGTAAGTATAATTTAGATGGGGATAACCTTAACAGTGTCCTAAAAGAAAGGGGATCTTGGTGTAATGATCAGTCTCTTAAGCCATCCAAGCAAAGTGCTGTTGCTAGTGGAAAGGCAAATAGGATTTTAGGTTGTATCTATAGAAATATTGAATACAAGTCTAAATAGGTTATAATTTCATTGTATAGGTCATTGATTGGGCCAAATTTGAAGTATTGCATTCAGTCTTGGGATTCATACCCTAGAAAGGACATTGAATTGTTGGAAAGAGATCAGAAAAGGGTTACTATAATTATGCCTGGGATGGAGGGATTGTCATATGAGGAGAGGTTAAGGACTCTGAAAATGTTTTTTCTTGAAAAAAAAAAAAAGGAGTTGGAGGGGGTCTGATTGAAGTGTTTAAGATTGTAAAGAGAATTCGTAGCATTGATGCATCATTTTTTTTCATACTTATTGGTGAGAATAGTAGGACTAGGTGACACAAATATAAATTTTGGCAAGGTAGGAGTCATCTCCAGCTAAGACCTGGCCCCTGGAATGGGTTGCCTTCAGATTTTGTGGAGGCAGGAAATTTAAATGAGTTTAAGAGAAAGTTTGATAACTATATGAATGATACGGGCTGGCTTTAAGATTCTTTTTCAATTTATATATTTAATAATTTTAGTTTAGTTTATAGGATGGAACAGCCAAGGTGGACCAATAGCTCCCATGTTACCCCCTAAACATTATATGTTATGTTAAAAAAAACTTGGTCAGTGGTAACCTGTTGGGGAGTGCGATATTCCTGTTGAGACCTCTTCCAGAGTATCACCAGCGATGGAGCCATAAGTAAATTCCCATGATCATCTACTTGTACATAACTCCATTAGTACTGATAAGTGTAATAGGTCATCCTACTTCCCTACCATAAGCCACAGAAACGAAAACCGTGAAACAAATGATGACTGAACAATTTAGGGCAGTAAACGAGTAAACAAAGACTCCGTTTTATTAATCAAAATATTTATTGTACTTTGTTGTATTTATTAACAATGGATGTTTAAGTTTAATACACCATTGTTTTCTTTGTGTAATAGTATTGTTCAATGGACTTTACAATACAGACAGGGGCGGTGCTGTAGTCTATGCTTTTTAATATAGAAGTTTGTATTTTTGTTTGGGCAGCTGGAACTTTGGCGTCATATGATGACGTCATAAAACACGAGTTAGGCTATACAAAATTATTATTGATTTTCGAGTTTTTCACAATTGATTATTGAATTGGAGAGTTTGTTGTTCAGATTTTCTATTAGAATCAGCCAATAAGTTTACTTTTGTGACCACTGAGTTTGTATTTCGACGAAAAACAGAGGTACAAGAAGTGCCGTCCATACACGATAATTAGCAAGTGAAATTGTAATGTTATCGTCTATTGTGAACTTAGGGCTGTCAGTGAATATTAGTTAAGCTAACTGCAGATGATGCAATAGAAGAAATAAAATGTTTTTGTTATCAATAATTGGACTGGACTTTCCATTATTGTTTGTCAAAGAATTCAAAAGAACCTGCCAAATAACAGAAATCATCGCGACACTACATTAAAAATAAAATACCCACTTACATGAGTAGTAATATTTTATTAACTGAATGAAAACGTTACTGTTATATCTCTATGTATATGCTTTGCTAAATTGTTTGTTTGTTTGTTTG